TAATGTATTCCACCGTTATGTTCACAAAAAGGTGAGATGTGAATGTGATTAAATCTTCTCTAAAAATAAACATGTCGACACTTCACATTTCCTCTAAAGAATCTGGTGACTCTTCTGTGACCTTCACGCAACGTTTTTGCACAACAGGAAAACTAGAAAGTTAAGAATTTTTGAAGGTGCTTTTTTTTTTATTTGCAGCTGTCTTTAACATGTTCTATTTAACGGTGTGCACGTTATTGATTAACTCAAGTAAGAAAGACAATTATAACATATATACAGTATATATATATAGATTTGTTGAAAAATATTGTTGATAAAATAATAGGTTGTTTGATTCTATTGAATCAAACAACTCATGAGCAGGAAAGGTCACACTGGGAGGAGCTCGGAGTAGAGCCACTGCTTATCCACATAAAGGTAACAGATGAAGTAGAAAAAAATGGATGGAGTACAAAAAAAGGTTGTTTTATTTTTTTAAACGTTTTGTTTTATTTCTAAATCGGATAACTAGTATTTTATTGTTTTATCACGTTTATTGTTAACTGATATTTTGTTGTTTTATTACATTTATATTGTTTTCACTTTGTGCATATTTAACTATGTTGATTTTATCTCTGTGCCGCACTTTGGAAACTTGTTTTATGAAATGTGCTATATAAATAAAGTGGATTAGATTGGAAAATGGATGAATGTGTAAAAGAATGAACACGTGATGAGTATAGATGAACCACTGATTCATGTTAACAAAAGTTAAGCAAATATATCTGGGCCTCAAGCACCAGAGCACCTCATATGACCCTCCTCGTTCAGAAAAGAGGAACAATTAAAGCCGCAAGCAGCGTCAAACGGCCCTCGCCGCTCCGTGCAAAGCAGGTGGCGCAGACGCGCCATCTTCCTACAGCCCTGATGGGACCGATACTGTGTATTTTGAATACCTACGATCAGTGATTGTGTGTCTCTTTGATTTTTCCATTGACACATAATGGGTAGTGTTTGTCGTCGCCCCGGCAAAAAAGTAAAAAAAAAAGCCATGGGTCTGTTTGAGTTTTTTTAATCAGGATGGCATGATAGAACTGTGTGCAACATTTCAAACATTTTGAGAAAACTATCTTTCTGCCCATGTATAACTTGACTCAGTCTCTAGGTGGCACTAATGCTGCAATTTCATGTTTTACACTTGAGTTTAACCAAACCCGAGAGTTGAATAATCAATTCAAATTTTGTGCAAATCGGACTTTGTATGTGCAAATGGAGGGCATTTTACTTAGCACAATAGCCCCCTACAAATTCAATTTTTTTGTCTTATACCAAAGAACACCAAAATAATACATTTTATGCCTGAAAAAAATTTGGTGAGTTTTTGTTTTTGTTCAGTGGGTCAAAAATGAGATCAAACAACAGAAAACCTAAACACCTGTACTCTCATGTAAACCTTTACTCAGTCTGTAGGGGGCGCTAATTGTTCCAATTTCCTTGTTCACACTGTCATGTGACCTAGGCCCAAGAGTTGAACAACCGAGTCAAGTTTAGGGAGAATCAGAGTTTGTAAATGTGCTCCTGTTTGCACATACAATCTGTGAGTGTGTCCATACAGTCTCCATTGGATAACATGGGAACTTCACAACTTGAAAATAACCACAATTTGGCAGTCACGTGCAGACCGTTTGATTAATTCAAATTCTGATGAACTATTGATAGTACATGTGTTGAGATGATGTGGAGCGATTTTCAGCCAAATTAAAGAAACTGCCGCAGCTGGTTTGATGATTGAGCGATGTGTACTTTTCAGAGATTTGTACACCAGACGGTTTTCCCATAGACGCAGAATGGGGAGTGTTTGTTGTCGCCTCGGCAACAGGGTAAAAAATAAGTCTTGGTTGTCTTTGACTTTTTGAAACCAGAGGACAAAACAGAATTATGTGCAAAATTTCAAACATTTTGAAAAAACGAAATTGGATTCATCCCATGTAAAACGTTGACATAGTCAGTAGGGGACGCTAATGAGCCAATTACAATATTTCCACTTTCAAATGACCTAGACCCTGGTGTTGAACAATGGATAAAAAAATTGTGCAAATTGGTCTTTGTATGTGCAAATGGGAGCAAATTTGCTTTTGTCAAAAATGTAAAAAAAAAAGAGTCACATTTTGCCGCTCCGCTGCTCAAACAACGTTTAACTGATCCAAATTATATGATCAACTTTAGATGGTACATGTGTTGAGATGATGTGGAGCGATTTTGAGACAAATCGGTGAAATGGCCGACGAGGATTTGTGTGTGAAAAAGATAAATTTTCATTTTTCTATTTTCCATTGAAATTAAAGAGCTTCCTGTTTGTCTGGAGGCGTGGCCATATTGACATTAAATCCAATCCAATCCACTTTTATATAGCACATTTCATAAACAAGCAGTTTCCAAAGTGGTGTACAACATGCAAAATGGCAACAAATAAATAAATACTCAAATGTATACAAAATAAATAAATAAAAATTAACATTAAATTAACACAGAAGACCACACGACTCACGTGGTGTTCAAAGCCAGAGAATAAAAGTGGGTCTTAAGACGAGACTTAAAGCATTCCAACGAGGGAGCTGTTTTGACATGAGGGGGCAGAGCATTCCAGAGCTTTGGTCCAGCCACAGCGAAGGCCCTGTCCCCCCGGGTTTTAAGTCTCGTCTTAGGCACCACGAGCTGGAGCTGACTTGACTTGAGGAACATGTGTACCGAATTTTGTGGCTCTCCGACAAACTTGACCTCGGACCCCTCCCATAGGTGCGATGTAAACTGACTTTTGTAGGGGGCGCTGTTCCGGCATTTTTTAAGTCCCATAAAAATAAACGCCAAAAAAATAAATTCTTTGCTGGTTCTGAATTTTGGGCAACATTTCTCAATTTTTCATGCATGTTTAGGGGATCAAATTAAGGTTCAAAGAGCAGAAGAAAAAATAAATAAATGAATAAGGTTTTTATACTGAAAATCTTTGTGCAATAACCATATAGGTTTCCATAGTAACCTATTTTACAAATGATAAACCACACAACATCATTCACTAATGGGAGGAGAGGTAAGATGAGATAGACCTTTATTTGACCCACATTGGGTAAATTTCAATGTCAACGTTGCGTACATTACAGCAGAATACAAGAAAGGAGGAAATAAAAGCTCTTGGATTGGACACACCAAACAGGAACTATTATTTAAGACAATATATAATACAATTAAATAAAATACTAAAGTAATAAGATAATAAAATTAAGTAAATCTATGGAGCTGTAACTTCACTTGGTTCCAGGATAGTACAGTCGGTGAGTATACTGTGGTCAGCAGGAGGTGATTACAGACGTATTATATAGGGATGATACTTGGGTGGGATTTTAACCAGCAACCATCAGAGCAGAATATACAGTCATATACAGTCTCTACCAACTGATCTAGTGCTACTAAAACACTACAACATTATAACAGTGACTCAATCATGGCATAAACAAGAGAATCTAAGCAAACACAAGACAAACTAACACAATGCTCATAGAATGTTCATGAAAGTGAGAAAATAAATATTACACCGCATTTTATAGTTATTTTCAGTAGAAACAACTGCTGTCCACAGAGTGAGCATGCACCAATGAAGCAATTGTAGCCATTGACTTGAATTGTCGACCAATTTTTGGCAGGGTCGATTATCTGCTCTGAAATTGGTATAACTTTACTGCTCTGTCCTGGCTCGGCCTTTATATTTCATACACACATATTTCCTCTGTCCTCTTGTCGTTCAAATTGGCCCTCCTCATATACTTCCCATATCTTCGAAGCACTTGGCCAAATACATTTCCAAAATACATTAATTTAAACCGTACTCTGAAGTGAATACAAAAGATTACAGTAAAGTAAAGTATCTAAAGACAACACTCAACACCCTGTCCGAATAACTCAAGTTTTAGCTGTTTTATTTATTTATTACACTTCTGTCAGACAATAAAATATTACAAGAAATACTGACATAACGATCAAGTTTCAAGGCTTGCCAAGTCAACAATTTGGAGACGCATAATTTTGTACAAGAAACCCAAAAAACTGAAGAAATAATCAGAGACAAATTCAAAAGATTTTGGAATCGTCAAAACTATTCTTCGAAATGATTACGACCCGTCCAGACAGCAGATTTACTCCTCAACAACAAAGTAGGCTTTTCTTTCCTTTATGTAAAGTGTGTACAACTTAGAGCAGTGCGTCTCAAAATGGGGGGGTATGAACTGATTTCCATATACAGTACAATTATTTATCTAGTTAGGTGAAACTATCTCAACTAACACAACAGATGTACAACACTTCAATTAAATTAATATTGTTTTATATCTTCAGAAGTTCGAGTTGGGAGTGGATTACGTGGGCTCTGACCGAAAAGTTTGAGAACCCTTGGCTTGGAGTAAATCAGCCACAAGAGGCCAAAACTACAAGGCCTTGGCTTTCACCAGTGGGGGCGGGTCCCGGCTTAAAAATGTCCCTGAGCACGTGCGCTGACATGCTTGCAATCTCACTCCTAGCTGGTGGAGGTGTACCCGGAAAGAGAATTACCCAATGCTTTTGTATGTCGCCTTCTTTCCTCTCGAAAATGGCTTTTCTGGATAGTCCAAAAGTCGGCTCTGGCCCAATGCTACATTCCAGATGCGTGTCAATGCTGCGGGGAATATTTTTGTTTGGACCATCCTAGTTTTGCCGCTGTGGACTTTTGAATTTACTTGTTAAATGAATGGGGCTCATGCTGGCTTACGCATGCGCAAATTCGTTTTTTCACATTTTCCTGCTCCACTGCCATTTTTAAAAAGCCCACAGAAGGCTAAAGTGATGGCACATCAGTTTCAACGGTAGCGAAGGGTGTGATTATGTTCGTTAATATTTACAGTCTTTCACACAGATTACAACTTTTTGTTTGTGATTCAAAGTGTTCACAAGCAGAAACTAGCACAGACATGTCACTGTGGAAAAGAGCCTCTTACTTGTCCAAAAACAGAGTCAACGATGGGCCGGAGCTTCTTGCCATCCCCCTCCTGCAGCCACAGCTCCTCCGGGTCCCCCACTGGAGAAGACAGGCTCATGGTCTTGGCTTTGGTTCTGGGGGGTCTCTTCAAACTCGCAGAACTCCATCGTCGGAAGGACTCAATCTTCTTCTTAATGGAGCCCTGCAGAAGAGATCATACATAAAGCTCTTCCTATAAATTTAGATTAGTTATTCCTTGCCGGTGCAGGAGGGTATAACAGGAGGTGATGATCCGGGACACTCAACTTTCAATTACATTTATGGACATTTATGGTCCTCTGCCCCTTATGGACCAATACCAATGTGTTTTCTATCATTGCATTTCTCGTGTTTGAACAGTTTGATTCTCTGATCTGTGTTGCCGAATTCAACAGTTGTGTATAGTCCTCAGAGATAACCACTGCTGTGATTTAGGGCTATACAAGAATATATTGAATTGATAGAAATATATAGTTAGATAGATAGACACTTTATTGATCCCCGTAGGAAAAACACAGGTGTCCAGTAGAAGCAAAAAAATCAAATCAAAAATGGATCATTCGAAAAACATAAAATTAACTCACAGATATACAGTACAAGTCCAGGGTGTGAAAAGGGGTTGGATGAAGTAGATGTTTATAATGTAGTATCACAATTCTCTCCAAAATAAATGAAAAGTTTGCATACTTTCTAGGGGTCTATTGTAGCTATTGGTTAAGTTACCGACATTATTATGACCATAGTATGTTGTGAGCTACTGTCTCCCATTAATTCCCTTTGTGGACAAAATAAAGAAGTTTGCAATGAATGGTACAAGTGATGATCCATCCATCCATCCATTTTCTACCCTTTAATCCATTTCTGGGTCAGGGGGTTGGCAATCAGAGATGCCACCCAAGTCTCATAGCACCAGCCCCTCACTGACCCTCTGCAGGTGGTGAGTCCACAGGAGGACGGCTGCTCTCTGAGTGTGAGCATAGTCTTGATCTTTCAGTGGGGGCTTTGGGCAAAGTGGGGTTAAGTGTCTTGCCCAAGGACACAACAACAGCAGTCATCAGTGGGAGTCGGTGGAGAAGGTGCAGAGGTGGGAATTGAACCCACGACCTTCTGGCCTGAAGGCCAATGCTCTACCAACTGAGCTACTGTCGCCCTCATCACAAGTGATGATGACTTTTTTTAATTGTAACCAATGAGTAATACAAACATAAAAATAAGACACAAACCAGGAGTAGGATGACAAAAACTGCAAAAACAATGAGAAAGCTATAAGAAATCTCATTCGATCCATATCAATCCCAAGTTGATCTATTCCTGTAGCAGGTTAATACCAGCTCAAGGCCACATGTTGCAAATGCTTGTTTTACATGGTTAATCTTTTCTATTTTTCATTTGGTTTAACAATCTAAGACACATTATAGGTCAATGTCATTCAATAGGAACGTTATTATCGCACACAGGTCCCCATCAGTTCTTCAATGTCCTAACAACAATAATATTTTATACAACAGTGGATTGATATCAGTCATGGTCCTCACACCCTCGGCACCTACCGGACAGAGTTTATAGGACAAACAGCCAAATGTCACGTAATTTTAGCCAAGTTCTTGTACTGACCTTCTTCACCAGTTTTCCCTCAGAGACCTCCATGGCTGCGCTTCTGCTGCTGCTCGGCTGTGGTGTTTGGTGGTTGTGGTCTGCCTGGCATTCACACAGATGTCCTGCCTCTGTGCTTTCGCGCCTATGTCCACTCCGACGCTTTATCCGCCCGACACACGAGGTCTGCCCGGGGATGCTCGCTCCTCCCTCTCCTCCTCTCATCCCAAGTCCACAATATCACTTTCATCTCTGCTCCTATACTTACAGCCACCGCTCTCATCTGGCAAAGAGAATTCAAGCCTAATCGCTCATTCAAGAAAAAACAGTATAGTTACTTTATTTACACACTTTATAATTGCTTTAAACTGGCTCTGTCTGACCTGTAGAATAAGGTTACTGCTGATTTTCAGTCAAAGTGCATCAGTGCAAGTCTTGTGTTTTCAAACACTGTTTCTGTCCATGTATGCGACATGTCCCATAATCCGGCATTTATTTCCTCCCTCTGACTCTGATCTCCGTTGATGTAGGCTTGTCCTCAATCCTCTCCACTTAATGTGTTTCTCATTGTTTATTACAGTCACCATATGGACCTGGCTCAGTCCAAATGTGAGTGACTGTAATGAAATTTGACTAAAATAAGAACTCAATTGTTTTGTGATTCTAAATTGGTTATGAATTGAATTAGTTTAAAGGAGGTGATGTTTAAAGGTTGTTTTAGGGATCACAAATCTTGCTTTACGTATGGTTTAGGTGTGCGTCTCCACAGAGTACAATCTATCTTTGCCTGTACTTCATTGGAAATAAACTAAACCATATAAAAAGTCGGGGTACCTAACTTTATCATGAATAATAATGTTCTATGCCTTGGCTGAAAAAGTCTTGTAAAAGTAGAATCTTGCGAACAGTCCAGACCACAACACGGTACCTTCTTAATACTTGAAAACTCTTTTATATTCTATCTTTTGCATATTTGTAAGAAAGAGCGCTGTGAGTTAAAATATGCTACTTTGGCCTGAGAGTTGATTGGCTGAGTGAGGATGGTCCTCTTTTTCACTTTTTGGTCTCGGGCAACAGTAAGTAAGTATTGTTTATTTATATAGCGCATTTTACAGACCAAGGTCACCCAAAGCGCTTTACAATGTTCAGGGTTCAGATATTGTTCCAATCATTTCACACACGGAGATGACGGAAGCGAGTCACCGAACACACTGCCGCATCAGCCCCCAATCAACACCATCCATTCACTCACTCATTTACACTCATACCTATTGTGCATGTTTTTTGTAGTAAGGGAAACCAGAGGACCTGGAGGAAACCTACGCAGACACAGGGAGAACATACAAACTCCACTCAGAAAGGCCCTGTTCCGACCAAGATTCGAAGCCAGGACCCTCTTGCTGAGAAGCGAGAGTGCTATCCACTCAGCCACCGTGCCAACAGTGGCTCAGATGGTCGTGGACTCGAGCCCACCATGAAACCTTCTCCGACTCCCACTGATGTTTGCTGTTGTGTTCTTGGGCAAGACACTTAACCCCACTTTGCCTCAAGCCTTTACTGAAAGATCAAGACTGTCATCACTGAGAGCAGCCATCCCCCTGTGGACTCACCATCTGCAGGAGGATCAGTGAGATGCCACCCTCCCGACCCAGAAATTGTCACGTAGGTGAAAAACAAATGGGGCCCAAAATGCAAAAACTGCATAATAATGGATTTAATAAAAAAATATAACAAATCCAAAACCAGAAAAACCACAGAGAACAAGAACTGAAACAGACGAGGGATGACAATGACGGAACAGGGAGTGAAGGAACACACAGGGCTAAATACAAGACTAACGAGACACAGGTGATACACATGAGGGCGGGGCAGGTAATCAAACAGGAAGTACAACCAAAGAAGACACAGGGATATAACAAACTACAAAATAAAACAGGAAATAAATATAAACCATGACAGTACCCCTTCCTCAAGGGACGGATCCCAGACGTCCAAAAAAAAAACAAAAAAAACAGGGAGGGAGGAGAGGGACCGTTGGAAGGGCCGGGGCCGGGACGTGAAGCAGGGGCGCTGGAACCCCGCAGGGTTGGAGCAGGAGCTGGAGCGGGGACTGGAGCGAAGCAGGTACGAAAACCAGAAGGCCCCCTGGAAGGAAGCGAATATCCAGAGGAGCCAGGTCAGGGACAAAATCCTGCAACCACCCAGGACGGAGCAAAGTGTCCTGCAGTGGTCCAGGACACAGACGGAGAGGGATGCGTCCAGCTCCTGCAGCAACTCGAGACCAGTTGGGGACAAAGGCCAGCGATGAAAAAAAAAATTAAAATACAAAAATGGAGCAGTTTGCTTGGGCCTTGTTTGGTTCCGTCATTCTGTCACGTAGGTGAAAAACAAATGAGGCCCAAAATGCAAAAACTGCAAAATAATGGAGTTAAAGAAGCTATACCCGATTTTTTTTCTAAGTATTTCATAAAAATGCTTTTTACTACATACAAGTTGTATCATAATACATAATTTAATTGAAAACTTGAGGTCATTGATTCCACTGTGTATGAAATTCAGGCAGTGAAAAGTGCTGAGTAGAGTCTGAGCGGGCCGCTCGTTCTCCTCCACTCACAGAACGAGCAGCGAACAGCCTGCGTCCTCTAGCCTCTACAGCGCTGCTTAACACCAGGGCTTCGACTTCAAAATTCGAATATAATTCTAAAATTAAAAAAAAATATATATATATGTATTAGACCAAATATTTATTTAATGACTGCAAATAAAATAGTTAGCTCCCAAAGGTTTCACCGGGACGTGCTAGGCAGGTAACAGCTAAGCTAGCTAGCTGTTTCATGGCAACTTCCGGGTTTTTCGCGATCGCTTTTTGTCATTTTAAAACCGTATTTTGTCATGAAAACATTGACAGCAAATTCTGAAATCCGTCCGTGCATGTGTGTTAAGGACGTATATGTATACTGTATTGTCCGATTAACGTTTAATGGTGTTGATTGATTGATATGTATTTGTTTATTGAGCGTGGCTAGCTCCGCTAGCTCTGCTAGCTTCTCTACACAGACAAGTGTGCAGAAAAACTGCACAATGTAGTGACAGGCACTGATAGTTAAGTAATGGCAGTATTTTACACACCTGAATTACAAACAGAGATTGCATTGGGGCTGCGGTCATTATTGGTTTGAGAGTTCTGTTATCAAGAAAAAATGATCGGAAGAATTGCATTCAAGTCAATGGAGTGTTCTACTGCTGTGAGGAGCTGTATATTAAAAAAATATAATTAAATATTAGAATATATTCTAATGTTTAAATTAATACATTCGGACGCAAAACTAATGGTATTCTTTTACTTATATATCGTGTTAGCAGTGCATTGCTTTAGTGCCATTTAATCAGTGATTGTTGTACAGCTTACAAGTTGCGCTAATGCTAATGTTAGCATACGTATCAGATCGCAAATAAAACTAGGTGGCTCTGTGTTATGAGAGTGTAGGGGAAATGAGAAACCATTGAGCGAGTTGGGGGGCGGTGCTAAACATTCAAACATTGCAGAATCGGGTATAGCGCCTTTAATAAAAAAATATAACAAATCCAGAACCAGAAAAACCACAGAGAACAAGAACTGAAACAGACGAGGGATGACAATGACGGAACAGGGAGTGAAGGAAAACACAGGGCTAAATACTAGACTAACGAGACACAGGTGATACACATCAGGGCGGGGCAGGTAATCAAGACTGGGGAACAAGACAGGGAGCTATGGAAGCCCGTTTCCGCCATGTAAAAAAAAAAAATAAGCATACAGAAAGTCAAAATTTTGAGTTTAAAACTCAAAATTACGACTTTTAAAAGTCAAAATGTTGACTTTAAAAGTCAAAATTTCAACTTTAAAAGTCAAAATTTTGACTTTAAAAGTCAAAATTACGAGTTTTCAACTGCGCATGTGCAGTTGAAAACTTGTATGTGTTGTTGTCTGGAACGGTCTCTGGACATCCTTCAACTGCAGATTATGTGAAGATATTGCCTACAGTGACCACTGCATCCTTGAAGTAGCCAGAAATAATGTTGTTTGATTGATTCTGTTCCCTTGGACTGCCACCTTAACGTGGTGGGGGAGTTTGAGCACTCGGATGATCCTGGGAGCTATGCTGTCTGGGGCTTCATGCCCCTGGTAGGGTCTCCCATGGCAGACAGGTCTCAAGTGACGAGTCAGACGAAGCGCAGTCCGAAGCCAACCATGGACAGCACTAATACTAGAACGGTGACGTCGCCCGGCATGGCGCAGCCGGGGCCCCACCCTGGAGCCAGGCCTGGGGTCGGAGCTCGCAAGCGAGCGCCTGGTGGCCGGGCCTTAGCCCACGGGGCCCGGCCGGGCTCAGCCCGAAGGGATGACGTGGGCAGTCCCTCCTGTAGGCCCACCACCTGCAGAGGGGTCCGTGGTGGCGAGGTGCAGCGAGGACTGGGCAGCAGTCGAAGGCGGAGACCTCGACGACCCAGTCCACACACCCAACATCTGGCTCTTGGGACGTGGAACGTCACCTCACTGGGGGGGAAGGAGCCCGAGCTTGTGGGGGAGGTTGAGCGACACCGACTAGAGATAGTCGGCCTCACCTCCACACACAGCTTGGGCTCTGGAACCCAACTCCTTGAGAGGGGTTGGACGCTCCACTTTCCTGGTGTTTCCCGCGGAGAGAGGCGGCGAGCTGGGGTGGCCATTCTCATTGCCCCCCATCTCAGCCGCCACGTGTTGGAGTTCTCCCCGGTGAATGAGAGGGTCGCGTCCCTCCGCCTCCGGGTGGGAGACAAGTCTCTCACTGCTGTGACGGCCTACGGGCCTAACGGCAGTGCAGAGTACCCGGCCCAGAGTCCTTGGGAGGGGTACTGGACAGTGCACCGCCGGGGACTCCGTTATTCTCCTGGGGGACTTCAACGCCCATGTGGGAAATGCCAGTGACACTTGGGGAGGGGTGATCGGGAAGAACGGCCCCCCTGATCTGAACCCGAGCGGTGTTCAGTTGTTGGACTTTTGTGCCAGTCACGGCCTGTCCATCACGAACACCATGTTCGAGCACAAGGGTGTCCACCAGTGCACGTGGCACCAGGACACCCTAGGCCGGAGGTTGATGATCTACTTTGTTGTCGTATCATCTGACCTTCTACCGCGTGTCTCGGACACTCGGGTGAAGAGAGGGGCGGAGCTGTCAACCGATCATCACCTGGTCGTGAGTTGG